TTTATCCTGGATAAAAAAAAAATCCTATTCAAATATATTATTTGAAATTCTCAAACGTTTTCATTATTTTATTTAACAGTTTTCCCGCAAGTGTTATCAGTTGATTTTCACAGGTAATCAAATGACATTAAGTCTCCTCCTTAATCAGGCATGGCCCTCAGTATTCTTGCTATTTTTATTAATCCCCAGAAACTATAAGGTTTAACTTTCTTCTCTGTCTGTCTCCAAAACAGTAATACATATTTTATAAATTATAAAATTATAAAAATACAAAATAGGCAATATTTACATGCTGCTATCTATAAATTGGAGAAATATCAACAGAGCGATAAAACTTGTCACCTGTTTGACATGTGTTACCGAATATTTCAAACTCTTTAAAATCAGCTCAAAGAACCTCAGTCTTTGTTAATATATTCTTTCATTTCGCGTCTTGTTTCACAATGTTTGGTGTATCACTTTCTATTCCATTGAAGCTGTGGAAAATATTACTTTCCGTCTTATATATACGCTGTGGAAATGAGTCCATGGACAATGATGATTCTTAAACATTATCGGACATTTTTTATTTAAAGATTTTTATAAAACTTTTGAATGGAAAATGGGACACATAAATCCGAAAATTGAAATAGCGATAAAGCATTCCAAAACCTAAATAATGTATTAAGAAACAATAAAATGATGTTAGCAACAAAGATAAAACTGTTCAACTGTTATATAATATCCAATATTACAGTGAATGCTAGACAATTTCCTTAAAGATGAAAGGGAAACTTGATGCAATAGAGATGTGGATCCACAGAAGAATGCTGACTATTCCAGGACTGAATATGTGAGCAACGAAAATGTTTTTTAAAGGAAATGGAAACAAAAAGGAAATTTATGATTAGGATAAAAATAGTTAGAATTTTGGGGACACGTTATGTGGAAAGAATGCTTTGAGAATTCACAGACATACGGAAGACAAGAAGGACAAAGGAAAGCAGAAAGTCACCTACGAAATGAGTTTATGTAAATGGATGGTATAATATGGGCTAGGGTGTATAGTTAGGGGAGAGTGGTTGCTTAGAGCTCGAAGGGAATGTAGGTATGGAGAGAACTATTATTGCCAACATTTTGAAGAGATACGGCACAAAACGATGACAAAAGTTGCTTCTTACACAGCTCATGTATACGCAAAAAAAACACATTATCAATTATTCTTTCTTTTAAATCGTAGAAAAGTAATTGAGATATTTCATTCAAAGGCTTAGCCCTTCGTTTAGTTTTGTTTCGATCGTTAAATTTAAAAGCGTTTTGCTGACTGATAAATTGTATTTTATCCGCTAGTAATAAATTTACTGCGTTCACGTCTGAAAAAAGAAAAACAAAAAAATCAGAACGAGTCTCTAGTTTTGGTTTTGCTCTTGTCTACAAGCGAAGTCAATATGAATAGAGAGAGGGAAAGAGAAATAGTAAACATATTATTAGGTCAGTGAAATATATGCCTTTTCACCAGGCACAAAGAATAGTGCGTTGAATAATGAGGATCATGATAATAATAAACATCGAATCAAAATAATAAGAAAAATACACTTACGTTATAATAATTATCCAAAACAATAATAATGATGTACAGAAGACTTAACTCAGATAAAAAATATAAAAACAAAACAATATTGACACAGAGGTGAAGCCGAGAAAACGCTGGAGGGTCCGATGAACAAAAAAGAAGTCAGCAACAAGCATAGATGTTTAATAATGATCATTATTTTTGGAATGTTAACAGCAATGCTACCTGATGACATTATCCAGAGACAAAGTGACAGCAAGAGTCTTACTAACTTTCTTCTCGATATATTTAAACAATTTTACCAATGCTACACAATCAATAGTTTTAATTATTGTTATTTTCTTAAATTTGTAGCTGCTGAATTATAACACCAGTATTAACTGGTGGTTTTCACTGTCGGTAATGTGACAGCAAGTCTCTCTCACGACTACAGAAATCTATTCCGAATTCTTGCTAATATTAATGATTTAGATTACGTTTTCTTTTTAAGTTATGCCTCGAATTTTCAGTTTCCTCACCCCCTGAAAGGCTCCTTATGGTAATAATTATGGGTACAACAGATAGCAGCTCTCATAATTCTTCTAGATATTTTTAGATATTTACTTTTTCAGCATCACTTTTTAATCAATTGCAGCAGTGACATCCACTACAAGAAACTCATTTACTCTTTTAATTTTGCTTTATAGACCTGTATTCGCAATTTAAAATTCATGTGAATGCTGCATATATATATATATATATATATATATATATATATATATATATATATATATATATATATATATATATGTGTGTGTGTGTGTGTGTGTGTGTGTGTGTAGGATAAATTGTTGCCATTTTATATTTTTAATTTCGAGCATACGCGTCGTAGTTTTATTGTCGACTGCACAGTATAGCAGGGTCAGTTGGCCACCGTCTATGTGAAGAATTTCTGACGGAGTGAATTGCGTCATGGTGCAAGTCACTCAGCCAGAAATCTGTAAACGGCATGTTGCACTGCTTGGCATTCGCGCCGGAAGCTCCAATACTAATATTTTAGAATGTTTGGGTGTCAAACTGAGGACTGCAGAAGATTCGGAAAGAGTGGGATGAGTCCAATGGTGATTACGAAGGTGTTTGTAGTTATCACTAGTGATGGAGATGTTATGCCTCCATTCCTATTCCCATAGGGCATCAGACTCAACATAGAGGTCTATATCAAGTGCGTTGAAGTGGTAATGCTGACCTGGGTCAAGAGGGCGGCTACTGGAAGACCCTATTTCTGACAACAAGACACTGCACTATGCCACACAAGCCATAGCTGCGACCACATCAGCCCTTACATCTGGCCACCTAACTTCCCACACTGCAACCCACTTGATTATTTTGTGCGGGTGTGCGGGGTGCAGATGAGAGAGAGAGAGAGAGAGAGACAGAGAGACAGAGACAAACCAAACTCAAACACCAAAGAGGAACTGAAGACAAGGATTATGGCAGCATTCACGTACTTAAACAAGGTGACAGTCGAGAAAAGTTGCAGGAAATTTTGAAGTCGTCTGGAGGCCGTAGTTGAAACCGTTGGCTATTTTATTGAATAAACTTACTCTTTAGTATTTCGAAATATTTTTGTGTAACTTTGGTAAATATATCTGCTTCAATGAGATAACAGTGTTACTTTCATTTCTGTGTAAGTTAGACGACAATTTATCCATCGTACTGTATATATATATATATATATATATATATATATATATATATATATATATATATACGTTTGTTTTCTAGAGACAAAGTTCTGGAACCGTAACTGAAGCCTGGTGGGTAGATCGTGCTTTATTGATGGGTTTCTTGTTTTTATTATGTCATCTCTATCTCGATTTTGTTTCCAACTTTTGTTTCTTTTATAATACCCTGTTTGCGTTTGGTAAATTATGTTTTTGTTTTGTTTTCTGTTTCATTTTCTCTGCATTTATGCTGGTACAGTTTTTTTATGCTTTCCCTTTTGCCTCTTATTTATAATTATACATCTTAATTTTATATATATATATATATATATATATATATATATATTCTGGGAATACTTTGGGGAGATAACTATTGACTCAAACGTTATTCCTTTGTTTGAACTCCCTAAACATATGTGATGTAAAGACAGATTGAAAATTTGTATTAGCTGACGTGTTTCGTCATTTGATGAAATTTTAAAAGGAAAAATGTCCATCAGAAGACGCATTTTTCTTTTGTATTTATTCATATTGTTCTAGACCTGTGTATCACGATAAACTACACCCAGCAGCAATACCTTACATCCGGGTATTGCTGGTTTTGAGGAGCGTGAAACCACCTGCTAATTGTTGTTGTTATCATGTCCACTATGAACCATCTTTTAGGCTCCCAGCTTTGGGAAAATAGTGAAGACCAAAAACAGAATAAAAGCAAATATGAATGTATAAAAATACATTTTTATAATAAAATTACCAACAATATATTTGATTTGTAGCTGAAGCTTAACTGCGTTAAAAATATTCAGATTTCGGCATCAAATAACCCATAGAGATTCATATGCCGCGAAACAAAGTTAGCCAAACGAAACCAGTCATACTGTCCTTTTACAGATATAATTTTGTCATATCTAAAAATTTTACATATATATATATATTTCCCCGTGTTTATTTCTGTACCTCTTCTGTGTCAACGTGTTGCATTCACTTTAACGATTTCATCTCTATCTTTGCATTGTCCATAGTTATTATTTTACTTTCCTATCTATCTTGGATATAATTGGTGCTTATGGAATTGTTCTTTACCGTCATTTATAGAGAGTGTATTTTGTTCTTCAAATGTTTGTTTCACAGCCACGTCCATGTAATTTCATCTTCATTTCCTCTTGTTTATCTTTTAAAATAATCTGACATTTGACTTCTTCCAATTCTGGCCCTGTCATTTTAGAGTTCTCTGATCCCATAATTGTCTGATATTTATTTTTGTAGTGTATTCCATATCTCGCAATCAATATATCTTGTGTCATCCCCAAGTCCCTTGATAGTAAATCTGACATCTTCCTCAGATTTAATTACTCATGTCCTCCCTCTACTTTATTTATATGCTACTTTCGTTCCTGTACTGCAAGGATTTGAGTATGGCCATCAGGTTCCCCGTTCTTTCATCCAGGTTTCTCAGTTTTTCACTTGTTCAGTTATATATCTCACAAACGTCTTTATTCTCTTGATTAACCGCCTGGTTTTATGTCTTTTTACAAATTCTTTGTTCTTTGGTATTTTCCTGACTTCTGCTATTTCATTCTACCTTCCGAAATATTTTAATTGGTTAGAGGAATCCATCTCTTTATTTCAAGCTTCCCTTTGAACATATCAGCATCGCACATTTCATAATAGTGAACTACATTTCTTTATCTTACTAGGGCGTAGTAAGTTCCCAATTCATTATTATTTATACAAAAAATAAAGGCTTACGGCCATATCACGTTGAAACATCGGTTCCCGTACGATCACTGAAGTTAAGCAACGACATCTGGTCAGTACCTAAATGGGTGACTGCTTGGGAATACCAGGTACTGTAAGCTTAGATGTGTCGGTGGTGTACTGGATGATGGCTCAGAATTTTTAATCGAAGTGCCGAGTCCCAATTCCCGTTGCGTTCATTATAGTCACTTGCGCAGAACTTTTCCCAAGTATTAATCTATCTCTCCCTCCAGCTATGGGTTAGTTAGTAAAACATCTATCATTGATTCATTATTTTCTCCGAAAACAAAATTCTTATCTCTGAAATATATATTCTGGCTTTAAATAACCTGCAAAGTGTTGATAAACCGTAAAAAACGAATCAATCAATAAAAAAATGAAGTCAATCATATACATAATATGTGGTTGTGTCTTTCTTGTATCCTTTATACTGTTTATTAATTTTTTTAGATTCAATTAAACGATATCATTTCTTGAGGACAAGTATTGAGGTGTGATTTTTTTTTTATATATTGTTTTCATTTTGGGATTGTCCTTTTACAGTTCTACTCTAGTTTTTCACTGCATTTGTTATGAACTTCGTCGCACTAATTTTTAATCGCATTAAACTATTCAAAGTTTCAAGGTTGTTTGCCCGTGTCATAAATTTGTTTTTGCAATGTGTCTATGACATATTCGAATTCTTCTTATTTATTTTAACTCTCGAGAGTTTTGAATCTATTAACAATAAGAAAAAAATTCCCTGCGTTTGTTTTCGCCATCTTTACTTTTCTTACGAGTATTTCGTTTATTACGCGTGCTATCCCGTGGGGTTTTCCACAATATATGCATTTTGTAAGCCTGTAACTACGCCTAGTTGTTCCCATTGTTTTTTTTTTCTTTTCTTCTAATCTATTTGGTGTTATTTGCTTCCATCAGATATTTGTATAAGCATTACGCTAGTCTTTTATAAAGACTTGATATATAACCAGAGCATATGAATTCAAATCCTGGTTTGGCGTTTTTCAGTCTACAATGTACCTTGCAGCGTTTTGTAAGTTTTGGAAACTTACTTCTGTGTTATATCCGTTTTCTATGGAACTCGTTTATTATTCGGTTTCAGCCATTCCAGTTTTCCGTTGTTTTCCTTTCTGTGTTTTCCTAATCTGCTCCGGAACATTTTCTTCACAATCAAATCCGACAAGTCTGTATATTTGCCCATTGTTTCACCAATTATCTTTTAGATTTTCTTTCATTCTTCTGTTATATGGATTTTTGTCTACATTGAAATATTTTAAGCTTATATTTATTAGAGAAAATACTTGAATTTATTTTCTGTTACATCTATCGCTGCTTCTTGTTTATTCTTGCCAGTTCAAATCTCGCTTGCTCCTTCATATTTTTTTTATTAATTACGATTCTCTACGCCAAATTTATTTATTGCTTGAGTCTTTTAAGATATTACTATTGATTGAGTTGACATGATTTGTCGAAGAAAGATGACGAAATCGATGAAGATTATTTGTTATTTTTAGGCTCTTCTCCTTAAATTAAACAGATTATATTTTACATTAACAGATTGAGGAAATAGATACATTTTAAATGCATAGTTACATGCATTAAAATGAAGAAGTTTTAAAGAAGAAAGAACAATACCAAAAATTAATGGAGGAAATGGCTGAACAAAAAGAATTAAAAAGGGAACAGGAATGAAATGAGAAAAGGAGAAATGAATCAAATAATGGCGAAAAATATCAGATGAAAAATAAGAAGTGTAATAGAAGAATGAGAGAGAAAGCAAGAAATAAAAATAAATGAAAAGAAACCATGATGAAGGTAAACTAATGTAAATGAAAGGAAAACATATGAAAATAAAAAAAGTGGGAACAACAAAGAACAGAATAGAGAGACAATCGAATAGTCATGAAATTTATTCATAGCAATGAAACTTGTAACGATATTCATCTCTCTCTTTCTCTCTCTCTCTCTCTCTGTCAACATATATATATATATATACATACATACACACACAAACAAACAGACACACACATACACATACATACACACACATATATATATATATATATATATAATAGTATGACAAATTGTAAAATGTTTTGTGGCGCATTTCATCTGTTACGATTTCATCGGACTGGACTTTATTGATGTTTCCACGTCTACACATGCGCAGGAAACAAGAGACGCTGTTAGTTTCAAAATTTTTGAAAGAATATTTTTGAAAGGATATTTTTTCAATTTACCGAAATTCATTTGTATTCTTTTTCTTTTTCTTTCCATCACCTTTTTCCTTACTATTCTACATTGTGACAACAGAAAATCTACCAACGCTCCGATGAAAAACGTTTTCCCTATTTGTCATACTATTTTCCTAAATACTGTTTGCTGATATATAAAATTATACAAATTTATATATATATATATATATATATATATATATATATATATATATATATATATATAATAGAAAAGGGTAGTACCTAGTTTATTAGGATTTATTTAAAATAATAATCGTATTGAGAAAATAATTGACATTACTCGCTGGTTGTTTTTTTATTATTTGTACCAGAGATTTAAGGTACTAGACGATTTCTGTCGCCCTGTTCGGATGTTTCAGGTGATTTCTTCTTTTTTAATTTTTCCTCTATTCCTCTTTTCCTTTATTTGAAAACTGTACTATCCAGGTTTTTTCACCTACCGAGTTTAAATAGATTTACATACATTAACATTGTATATATATATATATATATATATATATATATATATATATATATAGAGAGAGAGAGAGAGAGAGAGATAGATAGATGAGAGTTGTGGCAGAACAAGTCGTGTCTGCTTCACCACGACGAGGAGTCTGCTCACAACGCCCTGAACATCCGGATGTTTTCGTGTGACGCGTTTCTACTTTGTCATACATTTTTCTTCCAATATTGTTATTGACATATGAAAGGATATGAAGTTATGGAGTGTCACATACCGAAGAAGAAATTTTCTATAGTTCTGGAACTCACCTATTAGACAAAAAAGAATAACGTTAGCGTATATGATGCATAGAAAAGACACAGACATTATAGTTAATAAACTTGAATTAGCTCTCAGTGAGTAAAAAGCGAAAAGCAATTGTAAAATGGTCAAAAGTTTTAAGACGGTTATTTTAATACGAACTAGGTATAAAACTGGAATGTATAAATCCGCCATTTTGTAGGTTGTGCTGACTCACTTAGGAAACGGAGAAAAAACAACAAATCTGGATCTCTAACTGGTGTAATTTCTAAGGAGTACTCCTTGTCGAGCTTGTTCTATACGAAGCGCCATCAACGCTAAAATATATTGCCAGCAGCTAGACGACGTGTACGACAAACTAAATTAGAAGTGTATTTCTTTGATCAGTTGAGGTCAGGCTTTGTTTCAGCAAGACAATGCGAAGCCAGACACTGCCAGGTTGACTAAGGAGAAGTTCAGATGGATGGTGTTTCGATTCTTCTACATCCACTATTCAGCCCGGATGCTGCTCCAAGTGACTATGGCCTATTCCGCTTAGTAGCATACTTCCTCCGCGACCAGCGATTCAACACTTTTGATGAAGTGAAGGAAGGTTGTTCACGATAAAACCAGCAGGCTGGCATATGAGACAGATTCGGATGCTTGCTGATCGCTGGCAGAAAATCGTCAAGAATGATGGATTTTATTTTGAAGAATAAATGTTGGTGTTGCTGCATAGAATTTTGTTATTTTCTTTCCGCTTTCCCAGTGAGTCAGAACTTTCTGGCAAACCTAACATTATATCTGCGTTATCTTCTGCACAGAAGCAAATTTCAGGACCCGGAATAATTTCAACTGACATAAATTCTTGCCGAAAAAGATCGACTTAAATATTCGTCCTTTACGAAGTCAGCACGCAACCAATGAAATATTCATGATCAACAATATAACATTTTCTTCTGCAACGGATAGCAAAATAATCGGTTCAAATGCCGTCGATAAAATTTCTACATTTTAATACGTAAAATGTGATATTCTCCGAAAACGCTCGGCCTATGCTTGAATAAAGCCACCTGTTATTTAAAGCCACCTGGGCCACGCAATAACAACTCGCTCGAGACATTACGTCGAATCAATAGGTTTGTCTCGGTTTAAACGCGAGCTCATTTTCGTCACACGCCGGTGGTCTTTACGCGTTTCGAGTCAAATTTATACCGCTGTTTGTAATTTCGAATATCAATCACGTGTCTACTCTTCGTCAAAGGAAATATAGGATTTTACTTTGAACAGATACACTGAAATTATATCTGCATATGATTATTGCCACTTCTTTAGAGAAGAAATCTTTTAAACGTTGAGCTGATACACGGAATGCTTTTGAAGAGTCTTGAAAGCGACTTTCTCCTTTTGCACTGTCATGTCTGTTTTGCACTGTCTGTCGGCAGACCTGCAAAAGTCACATATGTACCCTCTAAGATTGTCACGAGGACATCCACATAATTGACATGAGACAACTAATTTACATAAGATCTTCGCTGACTAACAAATCTGGACAAGGTAGAACAACTTTAAAATGGATGTTATATAGATGCTCAGACTGAATATCTTCTGTGGTCAAATGTACATCACCTTCCTTAAGAGTTCAAATCAACCTCAAAATCTCAACCCGTTTGATTTCAAAGCGATTGCAACCACCAAAAACAAGATTTCTCGAACGAGGCATATTCTCTTCCCCTTTTTCTCAAACTTCCACACTAATTTCAACAGTTTTAAAGTTTATTGGGCTTTTTTCTATCTAGGAAACGTACTCAGTATTTTCGCTTCATCAAAACTTTACTTCGAACAGATGTAATGCAAGTAGATTTGCATTTATGTAAAATATCATATATTGCATATATATGTATATTTTCACATACTCACACACAACATATATATATATATATATATATATATATATATATATATATATATATATATATATATATATATATATATATATATATATAATTTAAAAATCAGGAGATAAGTTGAATCCGCTTCCTTGGTTTCAACCTTAGGCGATTTTTTCAAATGACCTCTGTATTTAAAAAAAAAATAATGAACGCTATATTATTTTTTTT